TTTTACAAGGTGCACTAACGATTCCAAGCATTTTAAACAGTTTTTCAACATTTTAAGACACATTTAAAATAGCGAAAACAGACATCGCTAAGCAAAACAGGGGGACCTAAACTGTCATCGCTAAGCAAAGCAAGGTCCCGAACATCGCTATGCGAAATTTCCCCATTGGAAACATCGTTAAATGGAGCGCAAAATCGCTCCAAAAACCTCATCGCTAAGCGAATACATCGTTAAACGAGGCAATCGCTAAGCGAGGCACCACTGTACTTGTTTTGTAAGGAGGGAGGCAAGCAATAACAATTTTTCTGTTATTTTATGGAAAGTATTTCATTGTCTTTATTACTCACATATGTTTGCCTCATTATTTGTTCTGTATTACTTTCAAGTTCTGCATTTATCTAAGCCAAGTTGAGGTCTTCAGAATCTTTATCCATTATGTATCTGCTAAATTGTGCTGTTCTTCTTTGGCAGATGGTATCTTAGAAACTTTGTGGTTTTTCAGGGAGGAGATCATCCGATTGCAAGGGCAAGTAGACAAGCAGTATGCAGGCTTGAAGGACCTGGCTGAGGAACGTAGACGTAAGCTAGAGCATATGTGCCACCTGTTCAAGTTGAAGCGAGAAGTTGATGATTTGGAGCAGTGGATTGCAGAGAGAGATGTAGTAGCATCATCCCCAGAGATGGGGCAAGACCTCGACCATGTCACTGTGAGCAACCTCTGTGGGAGTGTGTAAAGGCCAAGGCCATGTTTTTAGCCTCCAGATTATTTTGAGATGTCTTTTTGCTTTAGGGGGATATTTTACCATGTGAATTAAAGACATAGAATATGAGTGGTGTTGTTTGGGCTGCACAGTTTCATGTAGTGGCTTGAGCAAAAATTGATGTCAGGTGAAATGGGACAATAAAATATATTTGGGGGGACTTATAGATGGTTGTTTGAAAGAGAAACTATTATATGACAAGTTTACAGATGGAGCTATATTTATCTGGAATCTTGTGACATCTTTTATGCCACCTTTAAACCCGTATGTTTTTGTGGGCAGGAATCCTCTCTTCAGTTCTGCTATTAGATAGAAAATATCTTGTCTCCTGGCAGAAATTGACTGTTGTTTTGTTAAGGTGTATAAAATGCATCCTGTTGGATGGCATTACAATTCTTAGGATGCTCATGTTTGCTCTGGTTTGTTTCTTCGCCAGCTGCTGCGGGAAAAGTTCCGTGACTTCGCCCGAGAAACGGGGAGCATCGGGCAGGAGCGGGTGGACAGTGTCAATCTCATCATTGAACAGTTGATTGACGTTGGCCACCCGGAGGCTGCCACGATTGCTGAGTGGAAGGACAGTCTGAATGAGAGCTGGGCTGACCTGTTAGAGTTGATTGACACCAGGATGCAGCTGCTAGCTGCCTCCTATGACCTGCACAAGTTTTTCTACGATGGTGGCGAGATCCTGGTTCTTATTGAGGAGAAGCACAAAGAGCTACCTGAGGAGCTAGGTCTGGATGTCAGCACAGCAGAGTCATTCCACAGAATGCACACAGCTTTTGAACGAGATCTCCACTTATTGGAAGTGCAGGTAATAATTTGAGTGGAATGTTGATGAACTGTATGGGAGAATATGGCAGAGTGTTTGTCTGGCAGAAACAGTAAGAAGCACTTATGCATGAATGGCCACCAGGACTGTTAACCCATGACTTTTGCCTTTTGGGAGACAGGGTTGGTTTATTTTACTTATAAGCTTGCTTTCAGATGAAGGCAGACAAAGAAGAAGAAGAAGAAGAAGAGACCATCTGTTTGCTCTAGAGGTGATGGTTTCCCTTAGAATGACTTTGAACATAAGAAGTGAGATTTTTCCAAATGTCTTTGAAATTTAGGCTAGAAGAGACTATTCTCCTTGACATGCACACCTGAGTGCTGTGGTACAAATCTCACACCAGAGATTCTCAGCCTTTTCATTACCCAGTAAAACTGGCCACTCATGTTCCCTTCAGGAAAATGCGTATAGGAGAGTAGATACTCCAACTCAGCTGTAGTGTGTATGAACTGATGCTGCCCAGGATTATCTGTATAGTTCTGTCTTCTCTGGATTTTTGCCAGGTTCAGCATTTCCAGGAGGTGGCAGCACGTTTGCAGGCAGCTTATGCTGGGGAACAGGCAGTTGCTATTCACATGCAAGAGCAGGAGGTGGTGAAGGCTTGGAAGGCTCTGCTTCAAGCTTGTGAGGGACGGCGGGCTCAGCTTGTTGACACAGCAGAAAAATTCCGTTTCTTCAGCATGGTCCGGGACCTTGTATCTTGGATGGAAGTTGTGATCCGACAAATTGAAACTCAGGAAAAGCCCAGGTAACAAGAGGAAATGGAACTGTCCTCTCACGTGTTGCTGTTTCCTCTGTCCAGACCTTGGAGAAACCCCTGCAGTTTCTGACATACCAATGGAACCCTTAAGAGCTGCTTCTGTCTCCAGTTATAGTCTCAAACCCTTTGCAAAGTGTGACTTTCTAGAAAACAGTGTGGCTGGAAGTCAGTTGCATGTAATCTTTATTGGTTTAGTTAGGCATAGCATTTATCTACCTGATGGCATTTTCAAAACATGAAAAGCAATCCTGAACTTTCCAGCATTAAATACTGCATCACCGAGAACTGCTTGGTGTTATAAAGGTTATGCTGCTTATTTCTCAATTATCTCCCCCTTTTCAGGGATGTTTCATCTGTGGAGCTCCTGATGAAATACCACCAGGGGATAAAGTCTGAGATAGATACAAGGGACAAAAGTTTCACCACCTGCATTGATCTTGGCAAAGGATTGCTGCAGCGCAGGCATCATGCTGCAGCTAAGGTGAGGAGTTACCAATACAAGCTTTTCAACAGAGGTCAGAAACAGATCAGATGAGAGCTGCAGTTGGAACTGAATAGAATATTATGTTCCAGAGATTGCATTCTTTAAAGTTGCTCCAGAGATGGCAATTATTCTAACTGTTTGTACAGTCAACATGCAAAGGAAGTCCATTGTTTATCTCCTGATTGTGTTTAGTCGTATCCAACTCTTCGTGACCCCATGGACCAGAGCACACCAGGCTCTCCTATCTTCCACTGCCTCCCGGAGCTGTGTCAAATTCATCTTGGTTGCTTCGATGACACTGTCCAACCATCTCATCCTCTGTCGTTCCCTTCTCCTCTTGCCCTCACACTTTCCTAACATCAAGGTCTTTTCCAAGGAGTCTTCCCTTCTCATGAGTTGGCCAAAGTATTGGAGCCTCAGCTTCAGGATCTGTCCTTCCAAGGAGCACTCAGGGTTGATTTCCTTTAGAATTGATAGGTTTGTTCTTCTTGCAGTCCAGGGGACTCTCAAGAGCCTCCTCCAGCATCACAATTCAAAAGCATCAATTCTTCAGCAGTCAGCTTTCTTTATGGTCCAGCTCTCACTTCCATACATCGCTACTGGAAAAACCATAGCTTTGACTATGCAGACCTTTGTCGGCAAGGTGATGTTTCTGCTTTTTAAGATGCTGTCAAGGTTTGTCATCACTTTCCTCCCAAGAAGCAGGAGTCTTTTAATTTCGTGGCTGCTGTAACCATCTGCAGTGATCATGGAGGCCAAGAAAGTAAAATCTCTCACTGCCTCCATATCTTCCCCTTCTATTTCCCAGGAGGTGATGGGACCAGTGGCCATGAGCTTCAGACCATTTTTTGCACTCTCCACCCTCATTACAAGGTTCCTTAATTCCTCCTCACTTTCTGCCATCAGAGTGGTATCATCTGCATATCGAAGGCTGTTGATGTTTCTTCCGGCAATCTTAATTCCGTTTTAGGATTCCTCCAGTCCGGCCTTTCGCACGATGTATTCTGCATATAAGTTGAATAAGCAGGGGGACAATATACAGCCTTGTCATACTCCTTTCCCAATTTTGAACCAATCAGTTGTTCCATATCCAGTTCTAACTGCTGCTTCCTGTCCCATGTATAGGTTTCTCAGGAGATAAATAAGGTGGTGAGGCACTCCCATTTCTTTAAGGACTTGCCATAGTTTGTTGTGGTCCACACAGTCAAAGACTTTTGCATAGTCAATGAAGCAGAAGTAGATGTTTTTCTGGAACTCTCTGGCTTTCTTTATAATCCAACGCATGTTAGCAATTTGGTCTGTAGTTCATCTGCCCCTTCGGAATCCAGCTTGTACTTCTGGGAGTTCTCAGTTCACATACTGTTGAAGCCTACCTTGGAGGATTTTGAGCATCTCCTTGCTAGCGTGTGAAATGAGTGCAATTGTACGGTAGTTGGAGCATTCTTTGGCACTGGCCTTCTTTGGGATTGGGATGTAGGCTGATCTTTTCCAAACTTGTTGGCATATGAAATGTAGCACAACAGCGTCATCTTTCAAGATTTTAAATAGTTCAACTGGAATGCCATCACCTCCACTGGCCTTGTTGTTAGCCAAGCTTTCTAAGGCCCACTTGACATCACTCTCCAGGATGTCTGGCTCAAGGTCAGCAAAAAAAACCTCTTGATTAGGAATCTCCAAACAAAAATGACCTAATTTGTAACTTGAAGAGTGGTGAAATCTCACTGGAGGATAATCAAATGCCTTTTACTTCTTAAAGCAACTGTGCTTCTAATTGTGAAGTTGTCATCTTGTCAGTTTCTGTCAAGAATAATGCACAAGGCAGAGTACATTAAGCATTTGAATTCCCTGCAGTTTATACATGAACAGAGCATACTCTTATTTCAAGACAGGTCTACTGCCATGACACTTTATTTGCATTCCAACTCTTGTCTTTTACATTGTACCATTCCTATCACATGGCACCTTTAATTGGTCACAGAACTACAAGGAAAATATCCCACGCTATACCTGTGTTTTGTGAAGATTTAATAGCTATTTTATGATATTTCACACCTAATGGGTGCCATCCAATGTGGGGTGAAATACTTGGGGCTAAGTATGTTGGATTATGGATACTGCAGTGTTTTAGCAGCCATGAGTTCTGATCTAAAAAAAGAGTTCTTATTTATTTCATTTTATATATTTATTTTTTATTTACCCATATTATAAATAAATATATTTGACAATAGGAACATCACTGTTTTAACTGAACAACCATGAAACTTATCACCAAAAGGAAAATTTCCTTCACTCTGTTTTTTTAATAGATAAAGGAGAAGCTGATGCAATTGACAGAGAAACGAAGGGAGATGTTGGAGAAGTGGGATAGACGTTGGGACTGGCTTCGTTTATGTGAGTATTGAGCAAGCTGTGATGTTTACCAGTAGGGGTGGCCGGAGTGAAGCTTTTCCCTACAAGCAGAACTTCTTTCTTGTGGGTAGATTTAGGACCTTATTGATTCCAGGTAAATTAGAATTTCTAGGCATATGCACCCTTATTATTTGTGCATAATATTTAGGAAGCATTTGCATCTTCTGTTGGAAATAGCAGTGGCTTCCTTCTCCATTAATTTTGGCAGTAACATTTTTCACTCTTGCATTTATTTGTGAAGGATCCCCTTGATGTTTGAAACTGTTGCTGGAATTTATTCTAAGATTAGTGCTGGCCACATGCAGCTGGTTGCTTAGGAGCCAAACTAGATGAGGAGCTTAATATGTCATTTGGCGTTCTACGTATTTAGACTTTTTTAAAAAATTAGATGAGTGAAGATTTCTATTGGCACAATGGCACATGGAAAAACGGCATTTCAGCACTTTCTTCCCTTGGCATGGTGCTAACAACTAGGCTCCATTCCATGTTATTAGCTTCAAGGGGAGCTTCTATTTACATCAATGAAAACTTCAGTTCTAGGGGGGAAATTAGTTTCAAGGCTGTGGAGAAAAACTTGTCTTTTAATGTTTCAAGTCTCCATGGGTCCTTTTTAGGGACAAAAGAGGAGTAAAAATGTTTTAAATAAAAAAAAAACTGAACTAGTTGGGACTGAACTCAGATCATGAGCAAAGATTTAATTGCAGTTGTAAGTGTGAGTGTATGTACAAAAAAGAAGATAGGATTCTTGTGCCTTTGATAATTGTGTGAATGAGGAGATTTGAGCAGGTAGATTGTATCTTGTGAAATTTCCTCTTCTATTAAACTATTAAAGATATAGGAACCTTCCTTTCTTTTTCATCTGCTCACCACATCCCTTTTCTTTTCTTTTCTTTTCCTGTTTCCTTTCCTTCCTTTCCCTTCCCTTCTCAACAGTGTTAGAGGTATGTCAGTTTTCCAGAGATGCCGCAGTGGCTGAGGCCTGGCTTATTGCCCAGGAGCCCTATCTGTCCAGTGGTGACTATGGGCAAACTGTGGATAGTGTGGAGAAACTGCTGAAAAGACATGAAGCCTTCGAGAAATCCACAGCCACATGGGAGGAACGATTTGCTGCTCTTCAACGGCTGACCACCGTAAGTCGCCCATAGAAGGCAATGCTTTTCAGTCCCTTATAGGCAAGTGTGTCTAACACCAGAGCAAATTGAGAATAATAGACCTGGTATTTTTTTAAAAAAAACCACAAAACACTAATACTGTTTTTCATTTTATTTTCTTGTTAACATTTTTCATAAAATCTTTTTGAATTGTTTCTGCAGAGGAATCCTATTTTCCCCCATTTTGTTATATATCAGGAAAAGAGGTTTTTAGAACTTTGACATCAGTACTGTTGTACTGTCCTGGGTCTGTGAATAATGATGGGTGAAAATTTTGTTCATTATTTAAACAGTTTTGAACAAAATGTGATTGTGAGAGGAAGTGAAATTGGTAAATCTGTTCATTATTTTTCATTTTTAAAAAATTAGAATTTACCAACATTCACAGAACTGAAATGTGAGAAAGCAAAACTGACATATTGCCTACTCCTACCTTTGAATATTTTCAATGTGTGTCTACACTGCAGTTTACCCTGCAGTTTGTATTGGAGATGGTAAATTCAGTGGATTTTCCATTAACTACAAAGCACAAAGCTTAAAACGAGTATTTTAGTCCTTTTGTTTGGCCAGCAGGGCCATTACTCAATTCACATCACTTTTACTCAACAATTCGAGTCACATCACTTTCGACTCAAGTTTCTGGTGTGTGTGATTACCTATCTCAATGCCAAGGAGGAGTGGGTGAACATGTCCTAGGGTGTCCTATGGTGTCATTGACCGTGGACCATCTTTTTAAAAAAAATATTTTTCCAAGTGACATAGCACAATCTTGATATTGTGAAACTACGGTGTTTATCTGGCTTATGCTACATCAGAGAAGGATTGTCTGAAAATGCTTTCTGCAGGAGAAACATAGAGATTGGCACAAACCCTGTAGTAGGGCACTATATGCCAGTATAGCAGGAACATCCCCCTCAAGTCAGTGCCTCTACAAATGGGCAGGAACCACCAAACCAGCAGTTCGTGCCAGTTCCTCCTTCAGATGATCAGATGTTTGGCAGTTCCCAGCCCCACCTCCTCCAGCAGGTACACACTGAGAGGCAGCATCCCAGCTTCCCTGTTGTGCCTCCTCTGGGCCCTGCCTCTGAGTAGGCACCCACTGGAGCAGGAGGAGCTGAGTAACACCACACACCTGTTCAACTGAAATGGGCACCAACCACTAGTTCGATGGTTCCTGCCCATTTCTAAAGGCACTGACTTGAGGGGGATGTTCCTGATGTACACTGGTATCTTGACTTGCGATCGTCCCTACTTGCGAATGATTTGAGTTACAAACGGCTTCATTCGCAAAAAGTCGTTTCGACCTGTGAATGGAGCCTCGACTTACGAAGCAAAAAATATACTTCCTTCCCTTTTTTGCTCACCTTAGATCAAAAGAAGAAATATATATATATTTAAAAAATCACCTCCTAGTGGTAGAATATGGATTAACCAGCTTTGCATTAGTTCCTATGTGAACTAATGCCTCTACCTACAAACAGCGCCTCGAGCTACAAACGGAAAACAGCAGATATGGATTAAATGGTATTCAATGCATTCCAATGGGAAGGTTTGACTCAATTTGTGAACTTTTCAACCTATGAACTTAATTCCAATATGGATCAAGTTCGCAAGTCGAGGTACCACTGTACTGGCATGTCTCCGCATAATGAACTGTTCTCAATGGTGGGATATGGAGTTGGGCCTCCCCAGCAGATCTTATAGGCAGGTTTATACAGGGAGATTTGCCTCCTCATGGCAGACAAATGTTTGGTACTTGCAGGTCCCAAGCATTTGTCTGCCATGAGAAGTAGGTTTAATACTAACATTAAAGCTCAGACTATCTGGTTGTCTTTCTATGTGCCTTGTAATGATTAAAATCTCTCTCTCTCTTTCTCTCTGTGGTGGCATATCCTCTTTGTGTAGTTACACCCTTAGTAAGACCAAGGGGCTAGAAGTGATGCAGCAGTGTAAACAGCAGATAAGATACAAGTGGGTTTGTGTAGTGGAAGCACAATGGGCCATGAAGAGATGGGGGAAAGGAACAAAAGCATTTGGGAGCTGAACAAGAGGCCACAGCAGGAACAAAACACACTCAATAGGAAATAGGGTTTATCGCTCCCTCTGTTCCAGCCTGTCATACATAAACTGGTGTTTCTAGCATCTCAAGGAGAACATCATAATTATTTTTCAGCTCGAATTACTAGGGAAGAGAAAAATCTCAGAGGAATCCTCACAGCACAAAGTAGCCAGGACCACAGACTTGGAATTTGACTTCGAACTAGAGCCAGAACATGAAGCAGGGTAGGTTATGTGGGTGTAACATGTGCTCTGACCAAATGCTCATTCCATCTAGCTACAGCCACGACAAACAGCGGTGTTCTGAAATCTTTTAATTTAAGTTCTGCAAGTGTGTGTGTGTGTGTGTGTGTGTGTGTGTGTGTGTGTGTGTGTTTTGGAGTACTTTTAAAATTATTTTTAATAATTTTTCTTGCCAATCCTCTCAAATTACTTAATAGCCATGTATTTCATGGCAACCATAACAAAGCAACTTAAATTATAATACAGTACAATCATTTTACTTATACAGTGGTGCCTCAGATTACAACGTTAATTCGTTCTAGCGAAATCGCTGTAGAACAAAAACATCGTAATGCGAAAAAAAAGCCATTGAAACGCATTAAAACCCGGTTAATGCGTTCCAGTTGGCTAAAAACTCACCGTCCAGCGAAAATCCTCCATAGGGGTGGCCATTTTTGGGTGCCTGTACAGCGAAAAATGGCACCTAAACACAGTGGGGAGCCATTTTGAGCACCTGGTGGCCATTTGGAAAACCCGACGATCAGCTCTTTTGATCGTCGGGAAGCGAAAATCAGTTCCCGAAACAGGGAACCGATCATTGCGCAGCAAAATTCCCCCATTCAAAACATCGTTTTGCAATCGTTTTTGCAATCGCAAAACCTTCAACGTTAAGCGGATTCATCGTAATGTGGGTAAGCGTAAAGCGGGGCACGACTGTACAATATTTTACTAGTTGAAGGATTACAGCTCCTTGAACTGTCCATGCAGCATGACAAGTAGCAGTGCTGACTAGGGAATTCTGGGAATTTTCATATAAAAACACAAATGTGCATAACTATTTTTAATTAATTCATCAACATCATTACAAAACAAGAAGAAGCAGCTACAATAAACCCAACCATTGTTTATTTAGGAGCATTACTTACCATAAAGAGATAGAAACACATTGTAGATACTATCCCCTGTAAATGGTGACACACTGTAGTCCTTGTTTGTTCCTTGTATGGTGAATCTCACAAACTGTGTGTTCATTGAGGAGAAACAGTTTGGAATAGATTGAAAACAGTGCAGGAACTGGCCCACTATTGATCCCTTTTTTGTGTGCAGAATCATTTGTCCTGTACTGTTTTCAGCCTATCTCTACACTGATTTTCCTCATTAATTTATGGGGAAATTGGGGGTCAATTAATGGATAGTGAAACAGGCAGTTTATTTATTGAACAGAAGAAAGGACTGAAATGCTGCGCACTGGTGTCCCAGGAAATTATCCTATTTTATCTAAGGTACTGTAGTTGTCTAGTTGAGCTGATTTTCAGGTGCTTCTAATTTCATGGGGAATTTTTTTATTTGGCCCGTCCTGAACTTCGCTGTCTGATAGTTTCAGGCTGTGAGCTGAGAGTTCCAAATTTTACATGCACATATAAATGTCTTTAAATGATTTTACTGCACTGGTTTACTGTTTATTTGGTGGTGATATGCTGTCTATAAGTATAAACATTTTAAAATAGAAATATATCCTTAAAAAGAAAATAAAACAACTATGTTTTCTCCCTACACTTATTTTAAAACTCACTGAACTATGTTCTTTGTTTACTGTAGGCCTAAAGAAGAGGGCGAGAAGAAGGTGGAGTTCAATCTGAAAGAGGCCCTTTCTCATGAGACAGAAGACTCATCACTGGTCAGTTGCTAGTTTTAGTTTCTCCTTCTGGGAAAACTCAGAATCGTCACACAGTTTTCTAGATTTGTTGCTTGTTCTAATCCTGGCAAAAGTAGTACCCAATTCTGTGTCTCCATTTTGGGCAAAAAGAAAAAAAAAGGAAGGAAACATTCTTATCTCTGGTTATTTCAGATGGCATGAGGGCAAGGTTAAACCTCCCCCTTCCTACAGATCTTGATACCGCTTGCCAGCAGGATGGAGAGGCATAGGACAATGCAGTGGGTACTTTTGTAAGTCCAGGGGCCAATTTTCTGTCTGGGGAATCCTACAGAGGCTAGACAGATGACCCAAAATATGAACAAATGAGAAACAAAGTAGATAGAACTCCATTTTCTGTTTGTTTTATAGGCAATTTATAAAGTTAAACGCTACAGGAGCCCTGGTGATCTACAAAAAAAAGTTAACTTGCAGCTACTGGAGGTGTCCAAGACTGCTTGTTAGAATGTTTGCTGGAGTGTAGAAAACTTTGGGGAGGGGGGGTAGGCTGAGGCAGTGTGACTCTAGGGGCTGTAAAAATAGTCTTGGTAGGATACATATCCCCAGGGTCACACTTTCAAAGAAATGGGAAGAATCATCTGTGACAAACCCAGACCTACTGGGATCTGCCACACTTTCACTAAGCTGCCACCAACCATTCCCTATAATAAGTCACACAGACCAGGGATGGATTTTTAAACAATAAAAGAATAAGGTTTATTTTAAATACAAACAGGGTAAATAAAACAATCAGGTGAATAAAATAAAGTAACGTGGCTTATTCTCACACACACAAGCATACAGTTTGGTTCACCTAGAACCTTTAACTTAAAGCACAGACCCTGAACCCATCAGTTCTGGCTAACCAACAGACCCCTGAACCTTTCAGGTTGGTACTCTGACACACAGTAGTACCCTGTCAGACACCCAGACTCCCACAACAGCTTCTTCTTCCCCAGCTGCTGCTTCGTCCCAACCCAGTGTCTCACAGTCTGTCTCAGCATCTCCTCTTCACCACACAGGCATCACATATTTATACAGTACAGCCCCTCCTCCTGATGTCCCGCCTTCCACTCCCCATAGGATGGAACTTTCCCTCCAAACCCATGACAGACAGGTAACATCAGTGCTGTTATGTAACATCATCCTCTGTGCGTTCATCCCTAGTGCTGCTGGCATGGGGAATTCATGTGCAACAATGGGAGCAGTGACCACCTGCGGCAGGCCACCCAGGTTGCCTATTCCATGCCTTAGCACTTTACCCTGCAACGTTTTTCATGGTCTCCATTTCCTCCACCTATTATTCCCTGGTGGGCAATGTGGTATATATGTGTGTTGGTGAGGAGTATTTTCCCTCTCTTGTTTGTTTTGTTAATAGTATATATACAGTATATATTTAATTTCTGTTTGCACCCTTCCTGGTGCAATCCATCCTCTCCTACAGATTATATATCTGAAGAACAGGAGTGGTTGGGAACCTCCTGTTTCAACCTTCAGGTTTTTCACTCTGCGTCCTGAACACCTCTCTTTTTTTCACCTCCCACTGTTGGAAAGCCTTAATGTGCAGAGGAGGATTTCAAGGGAAGACCTCCTTCTCTGTTCAATGGCTTCCTGTTTTGTAGTCAGAGAAGCAAATTGTTTTATTGTATAGTCTTTGGATGTCCTCAAACAGATCAAAGATTTCCATCATAGGAAAGGTTAATATCATTGGTTTAAAATGTAGTCTACAATCCCAGTAACCTGAACCACATTTATGTGAAGTTCTTGGGTCTTTGAATTCACCATCATCCATCCCGTATGGGTCTGTGTCTCAGTGTAACCGTTATATAAATATCACATTAAAGTGGTATATTTAGCAATAGTTGAACAATAGCAGTGATTTAACAATGGCATGGTTTCTCAGGACAGTTGGATACATTAGGCCATGAATGAAAGGCACCCTTTCGTAACTGAGGGGTCTTTAATTCAGTGAAAGGCAGCTAAAAGAAGTTAATGACAGTGATTTTTTAAATCAATTCCTGCTGCATCCCTACACACCGTTTTCCATTTGTGAGGGGTACATCCGGATTCAGCTTGTACTACTTGGTGAGAGGAAAATGCAACATATTAACTGCTAAGTCAGAGCATTAAAGACATATATATGTAAAACAAGAGTGCTCCCTGAAGGCATTTCATAATATTGGGGCATTTTAGTATGACAGATTCATTCAGGCTCTCTCACAGGATCTGCTAGCAACTTCTATATTCTCAGCCATGAATGTCAGAAACTTTAAGCATCTTTTCAAAAAAGAATATCTAGAGGATTTACATCTGAAGATTGAGGCACAGTATCTGACAGTTCTACTAGGAAAACATTGTTTGTTAGATATCAATAGTGTGAATCCAGATGAAGATAAGACATATATTCTTAGCTTAACCACTGATCACCTTCTCTGAAGTAATTCCTGAGGCACTTTCCTCTTTGCAGGCTTGATCCTGTGCAGCCAAAGAAGCTCTCGTTTCCAAGTGATTTTACTAATCATCAAATGCATCAAATGAATGAATAATACAGAGGTATTCACCACCTGATCTCCTTGCTGTTCCTGTGCAATATTTCCTGTTCACTGCCCCCGACTCCAATTATTTTATGGATCAAGAATATACATGCTCATTGGAAGTTTGCCTACATCCAGAAGACAGAGGTTTTACTTTTCCAGGCGTATGAGATACCCTATAGCAAACCTTATCTAATCTCTCCAGAGATTTTGTATCGAACCTGACACCATCACAACATATTTTGTACACAACTGTGTACATATGAACACACACAGTGCCCTTTCCCATTCCATTTTGCCTTCTTTATCAAAGTAGACCTTATGTGCATCCCTCTGGAAAATGTTAGTGGAAAAAACCTGAGGAAGCTTCTTTCTGCTCATGGGCATAGCTACAGAATAAGCTTAGGACAAGATTGTGGTATCATTTTAAGATGCAAGTTCAATTCTCTAACAAAACAGATATATAAAAATATCCCATGCGAAGGCAGGGATGAGCAAAGTATGACCCTCCACATGTTGTTGGACTCTGATTCTCAATGTCCTTCATGATTGGCTGTGCCAGCTAAGACTAATGGATAATAGATAAGTACAGTCAAGGGTGTTGTTAGAGTGAGTCAGGAAAGTAGTACAGTATTTTTCTTGCATCTTTAATACTGCTCTCTACCAGTCTGCTCCCTCCTTTTTGCATTCCCAGGAAATCCTGTGTGTATGGTCATGTTAGTGTGAGAGTAGAAAAAGAAAATGCTTGCACAACTTGAAGGATGTAATCTGTCATGGAAGGAAAACAGGGGAGAGTGCTTATAGTCTATCATTTCTGTTTCCAGGAATACTGTAATGTGGAAAAAGGAATGGCAGCTTCTCTGGGACAGAACATAAGCACATTCTGTTGTTCTCTTCCCTGCAGTAGATTCAAAGCTTGATTTTGTGCTGCAGGGCAGCATGATCGTCAGGGACAGAAAGGTGCCTCTGTAGATATAAACTGGCATTTGTTTCCTGTGTATATATGCCCCAGATCCTGTAAGTACACAGCAGTGTCCATGATAATTGCAGTGGAACTGACAGGAAGAAAAATAGAGTATCTAGACCCTCAGAAGCAGATTGAATACATCTTTAACAAGCAGGAGGGAGCAGAGCAATTTTGATAGCACTTTGTTCTTCAGCCTTGGATATATTGTCAGTTTTCTAAAGGAAATAAATCATACAAATCATGCCTCTGCCCCCGGGACCAGTCTTCCTTCTCTCTATGGAGCCTCGTGCCACTTTTCAAAATTGCAGTGATTCTTGTGAAAGTGCAAAATACTTCCCCTTAATTGATATAAAATCAATAAATTTTCCCCAGATACATCTATAAAACTAATCTTATTATGAAAACCTTCTTTACTTTAATATATGCGTGTTAACATATAATTACGGTAATAGCTATATTCTTCTTAATACCATTCATTTAACTGAAAATCGAATTATTGGGACAATTTCTGCTGTATAGGAAACATAGTGACACTTGGAATCTCTTAAAATGTCTGGAAGGCATTGCACACATTCTTTGGGCTTACTTTGTGACAGAAGGTACTGCTTGACATATGTACAAAAACAAACCTAAAGTAATGTGTATTGGTCTAATACACCAACAAAAAACAGCTCCTTGGTTGATATTCACAAATGATGTAAATAACAGCATACTAAGACAGATAAACATGGAAGTCTTCCCATTCAGATGCAGCTCTTGGCATGCTTGAGAAACACCTCAGTTATGTAGAAGAAACCAAAAACGGATGGAAAATTTCCCTGAGGAACAGCAGTGACAGTTGTGCAATAAATGTGTTTTCTTTCATCATGAAAAGGACACCACTCAAACGTCAGAACACATTCGATAGTTATATCTGTTTTTCAACTGCATACTCATGTGTACTCCACCCATCTACATGCTATGTGTCTTGTAAGGAAATTGTGTATCTGAATATTTTGAAACTCTCTGCAAGTGTCTAATTAGCTACAGGAAGCACAAAGTGTCCCATGTGCCGATTAGGCTTCACCAAAAACAAACAAACAAAAGGTCTTGCTTTCTCTAATGGCATGATGACCAATAGATGCTTCCTTCAGTACCATTGCCTGATATGGAATTCATCAGGTGGTCTACAGACTGGCCTTCCCACTGCCAGATTGTTCTACAGCTGTTATCTGTCCCTGCAGTATCTAACAGCCTTTCTTCAAAACTTCTGTTGCTTTCTTATAAGCCTATATGCTTTTGTGTGCCGATGCTTTTCTCAGCCTCCTTCGTCTTACTTTCATTGCTGCTTTACTTCCTTCTTTGCCATCCTGATTCTCTCAGATAGCTTGTTTTTGAAATCCTGGAAATGGCTTTAATATCGTGCTTTTGCCAGCCTGATATTTGAGGGCATAACATTTTGCTCAAGGACTCAGCTTATCAAGGAATAATCACTATTGTATTGG